ACATGAAAATAGGTCAGAAAGGTAAATACAATCAGATTTGTGGAAAATTAAAAGTTACAAAACATTTTTTGAGGGGGGGGGATTAATAATTCACGCTCTTTAACATTAGTGAGAAAGTACTGACCTCTTTCACTAATGGAGTAAGTGGTACATTGCTGTTTAAAAGTGATGACTGTCTCCCTGCCGTGGGTGATTTATAAATTCATTGTATTTTAATTTATACAATTATAACCGTACCTCTTTCTCTAATGGAGTAAGTGGTACATTGCTATTGCAAAGTGATGACTGTCTCCTTGAGGTTGGTGAAATATACATTGTGTTTTAACTTATTGAGTAATTACCATACCTCTTTCTCTAATGGAGTAAGTGGTACATTGCTGTTAGAAAGTGATGACTGTCTCCTTGAGGTTGGTGAAATATACATTGTGTTTTAACTTATTGAGTAATTACCGTACCTCTTTCTCTAATGAAGTAAGTGGTACATTGCTGTTAGAAAGTGATGACTAATTACCATACCTCTTTCTCTAATGGAGTAAGTGGTACATTGCTGTTAGAAAGTGATGACTAATTACCATACCTCTTTCTCTAATGGAGTAAGTGGTACATTGCTGTTAGAAAGTGATGACTAATTACCATACCTCTTTCTCTAATGGAGTAAGTGGTACATTGCTGTTAGAAAGTGATGACTGTCTCCCTGAGGTGGATGCAGCAGGGGCAGAGTGTGTGCTCTGTTCTTCGTACATATGACCTGGAGATAAAAGACAATATAAGACTTGAGCAAAAATATTCATTAGCTTTGTAGTAGGATCATAGATGATAATTATTTAACACAAGCTGAAAATTTTCTTTCTAGCATTAGCTTGTGGCCAACATGATGCTCAAACATGCCCATTTTAATAAAAAATTTGATATAAGCCTCATTGCCATCTTCTTTTATTTTCAATCAATTATGCTTCATAAACCTCCAACTTAGTTGTATATGTGCTTGTTTTAAACTTTATAACTCTTACATATATTCCTCACAATGTCATGTATTAAGATTTTATGTGTTGTTTGTTGTTCTACATCTACAAATTATAAAACTCAGTTAAAAAGTACATAAAAACATTTTCTTCTACATGATTTCTCTCATACCCCTGTTTTTTCCACTTCTACTTCTGCTATATGGATGTAAAGGTGGTCTGCCATGAAAGTCTCTCTTCCTTTCAGGTTCTAGAACAAGCAAAAAAAAAATCTGGAGAACACTCATTTTTATCCAAAATGTGCCAACCACAACAATCTCTCCGATGCAACTTCAATAATTTTATCATTTTACTTAAATACGGTTTAAGAAATGGAACTAAGACAGATATTTAAAGACAAATGGATTCTTTGGCAACAAGTTACTGTGTCCTTCAGTTAGAATAAGACAGCTGGCATATATGAAATAGACAATTACATTTATAACAACAATCATATTACAGTTTTAACAATTTAAAAAATCAGCTTTCGAAACAGTGAAATGGCCTCACATAGTGACAACAATTTGAAAATATAGAAAAACACATGCAATGAAGATTTTTAAATTAATTTCATTATTTACCTGGGGGTCTGTCCCTGAAAAAGCCCTCAAAGACCATAAAGTTGTTGACCTGAGGAATTGCTGCTTTCATGTTATAATGTTTGTGAAGGAATGACTGGAACTTGTGTGATGGTCTGTCAATGGCTAGATGCTGGGGCTTAATATGCTCAGCCTTAATGAAGAATAATATATCATCATACATAGTGCAATAACAGCATCTAGATCAATCTATGCAGAATCATATTGTCTACATCAATCTGGCTTTACTGGCATGGATTTGGCTAAATATATACAAAGAATGACTTCGGTTAAACAATTTCCACGCATGCAATTAAGTCCATCAATGATTTCATAAAAATAAATTAGTCATTTGGTTATAATTTAAAATCAGGATACACCAAAAGATTTTTAGCCCACTGTTCCTTCAGGACAGCAAGATCTAACAATGTACTGGCTTAATGTAGAATCCAGAACTGAATGAACAAATTTTCCAAAAAATTTTGACCCTGATTCAATTTTACAATGATCACATCTTGTTTTTCTTTTTTTCCCTTTTTTCAAAAACAGAATCATAACAAAAGATATTATAATGATGACTGGTGTGGTGTATTGCGCCATCATGTAATGTCCATAAAAATCATGTTACCAATAAGATTATTGCAATCAGTATCAGTTGATGTACTATTCACCTAGATAGACAAGATTTTTATCATTTTGATATGCTTGTCCATTTAAGGACTTTTGATCCCTTATAAAACCCCTGACCTGTTCTGCTACAGATGTGTGTCTCATATCAATTACTAGTGAAAAATACAAATTGATTGGCCAAATTGTAACTACCTTTAACATATGTTCAAACAATTTCTTCCCACAGCCCATCCTTTGCCGCGACTCATGGACATAAAAATCCAGCACACAAAGTGGCGCCATCTCATGTTGGTTGTGATGGGAATCATAAACAAATAGCTTTTTATATCCTACTTTGATGAATCCCACTGCACTTCCTTTGCCCCTAATTAAGATGAAAAAAAAATTAAAAGTCATTTGAGAATCTTAAAATGAAGGCAGTTAAATAACTGACACATATTTCTAATATGCAACAGCTATCAGTGTCCAATAAAATGAACTGTACGATGAAAGACATCCCATCCAAATAATGATTGTCAGACTGAGACATAACAGTAAATGTTAAAATTTAATTAAGGCAATATGGCCTACAGTATGTGACTAATGCTGACAGCTCTGCTTTATAATAACAGGTTACAAGCTACTAAAAATAAACAAAAGAAAAACAAGGGTTTACATGAGAAATAAATAAAAGATGAGCAGGGATAACCAAGTGATAAGTAAAATGCAAATAAGGGATATATAAATGACAATCAAGGGATACATTAAGCAAAACAAATAATAATAAAGGGACAAAAAAGGGATACAATATGCTTCCCCTAAGACCTTGGCATTTTTATATTCCATTTAAAACCTATTCTAAAAACAGTTAACCCAATGCTGGATATCCTCTAACACTTATCGACCATTCCCACAGATATTTGGATCAATCTATTTCCCTGGGGAGTCTCACTAAATTGCTATCAACTTAACCAGCTTAAATGTCTGTCACGCCTAGTAAAACTGTTAGGGGGAAATTATCTTTACCCTAGCTGATTCGGTAGGTTTGACAGACATTTAAGCTGGTTAAGTTGATAGCAATATAGTGAGACTCCCCAGGGAGAGAGACCAATCCAGATGGATATAGGCATGGGAACCCAATCTTACTCTGTTCCCTCTGCATCCTTCATCACATAAAGGTTGTGATCCGAGAATTCCAACTTGCTTGCGGAGGTGATGGCACCATGAAGGCCCTGCGCCTGAAAAACAGTATTTGATGTATTAATACCTGTTATTATTCTAAATGTGCATTCTACATGTTAATATGTTATCACAATAACATTCTCAAAGTGTTTGAAATCTGCAGAAATTGTGGCCAATGCAACCCACCCCGACTCTCTTGGCCTATTTTGTAAAATTAATCAACGAAAATAGACATTTGGAGCTCAGGATTTGTTTGCAATCTACTGCATAGGCAAAAGATTAATAATAATAAGGCACTTAAGTTATAACAAGCTTTTCTCAGAGGCTATTTGAAAGGTAAATGTAAAAAAATTTGTAATAAAAATATTGTGGATTTTTCTTTTGATGTTACATGTATTCAAGAAATTAAAATCACTCAATGTCTTCTGTCATGCAGCCTTACCTTTGCTGAAGCTATACCAAGTTTGTCTATCACTTTGCATAGTTGATCCCTGTACTGGTGGTAGCTGTAAAAATATAAGTAAATTAATTCACTATTTGAGTATACAGACCCAATAAATAGAAAACATCATGGCACACCTATCAACTGTGAGGTAAGGTTTGACTTATGATACTTGACAGTCCAAATAATCACCCAATAGCATCCTAGCATGAAAAATCTTGCCTTGGCCAGCCTTTTTTTTTCACATTGTAGAGTAAAATGATGTATCTGTATCACAACATTTTGATTAGTCAAACATGTATTTATGCAGTGGAGAGTTGAACTCTCTTTCACAAGTTCCCAAGGTTAAGACTTGATGTTTCTTTTTCATAGTAGCCAGATCCTTTAATTGTCAATCTCTCACAATGCTGCACTTCAGATATATGTAAGTACATATACAAAGAAGTATAATTATAAGCATAATACAATGTGAAAAGGGCATTTGCAACTTTCAGCAGTGATTCACTGAATATACAGTAGGTGAAAGGTTATTATAAGATTTGTGAGCCCATAGTTTATTAACAACAAATTTGATGGCTGTATGCCTTTTTACAGTTATCTAAATATTGACATTTTTTCAAGAGGTAGCACATTAAGTCCATGTCAGGCAACATAAAGAGCAATTAAGTATAACAAATGTAGTGGTTCTTACCACTGTAATCAATAATTCATCATAATGACATTTGGCCTGTAAAATGTTGATTTAAATAAATTCTCAATGGCAGTATGCAACGGACGAAAAGACATAATTATACAATGGTGGTAAATTATCTAATTTCTAAACATCAAGTAACAATTCAATTCAACAGCTTGGTAACAATCTGTCGTGTTTCAAGTTTACCTGTCTCGTATCTTATTGTGAGGTTTTATTCGGCCATGAAGTAATGTTATTTCATCTCCTAACAGCTGATTGATGTTGAATGGAAATTCCATTCTCGTCTACCATCTTCCAAGTGTCAAAAGTGACTCATCGTATTTACCAGGAGAAAACAACCGACCTAATTTCTGAAAGCATCTTGCTGATTGCAGCTCCGTACTGAATCGCTGAGGAGAATTATATTGCCAAAAAGGCTTAAGTTTCTTATTTAAAAAATAAATGTTATTAATTTGGGTTTTTTTATAATTTTAATACATGTATTTCATCTTTATAAATTAATATAAATCATGTTATTAATGCTACTTGATATTTAGTGCGAGATCATAAATATGGCTGCGCCCTAGAGATTGCACCATGACTTCACAGAGACTAGAAATTGATATCGGAATTTGTTTTCCTTCATGGAAAAACAGAGGTGAAAACTAATCTTCAGCAAGGTGTGTGAAGAAGCTAGTTTTTGCTTCAAAATTACATGTGATCATATGGTTAGATATGTATTTATAGATTCACAGGGGCGAAGATTTTGTGATTAAACATTGTTGAGTTGTCAATAGATTAATGTACATATATGTTTGGGCAACATGTACCAGTCAATTCTAATAAATCGGGCAGGACATATGTAATAGTATGTAGATCTGTTACAATGATTTGATGCATTGCACATCTTATGTTATGGTCAGTGGATTAAATGATTTTGCAGCTGTGACTGAAGTACCTGAGTACAGTACAATGCACGCTCGGCTGTCACCTTGATTGGATAGTAAACGGTTGTCGTAAAATCGCTAAATGATATTAAAACCCGGTGCATAAACTTGAAAACCACCTAGGACAACCTTACACTGCCACATTAATCCAATTCAATGCAAAAATAAACTATAACAAGTGGTTAAAGCCTTCAAACCGAATGTCGTAAAGTCCCCATATGCAGGTACCTCCATAGAGACAATAAAATAGAAAAAGAACCTACCATTACGAAAAAGAAGCCATGCCATTGGACAATGCGACCTCTGCGGTTACGTCATTTCCTGAATTGGATTGTAGAGAGGACCAATATAAACATCAGAGGTGGAATTTTGATTTACGGTTTGATTGATGCACGGAATTTACAAACGAGCGACGGGATGATGTAGCCTGCATTATTTGCGGTAAGCGTGCCAAGTTTTAGGCCGCTCCGATGCCCGGCAGTATTTTATTTCGATTATTATGTTTAAGTTGGTTGAGTTTTGTTTCACAAGCTCTTTCTATTTTATTCGTTTACTATCCAATCAAGGTGACAGCCGAGCGTGGTACAATGTATATAGTTAATCAGTTATATACCATTGGCACCTTGATCAATATGTACAAAACTTTGAAGCTCATTTTGCCCAAAACAGCCTGTGAAGGTACATCCAAGAGTTTTATTGCTTACTTTCTTGTTTCAGTATATTTTTCACAATGCCAAGAAGGAAGCCTTTTAGTGGGAAGCTTAAAAAGAAACAGCTTCAGGAGAAGAGATTGCGATTAAAAGGTTACTCTTTTTAATAGAATGATTACATACAGAAATTTTTAATTTAGAAGAATAAGCTTTTCTTTGAGTTGCATAATACATATTGCTGTAGACGTGTAGCATGCAATTTTTGTTCCAAAGAAAGTGATTAACATCACTAAAGTCTTTGGTTGGTGCAGTATCTTGGAAACATGAATGATCACATTCATAACACATATTATACACTATTTTTTGTTAATATGATAATGTTTCTATCAGTATCACTGAATTTAGCTACAGTAAAAAAAGAATTATTATATGATTGGGGCTGTTAGGTGGCAGTACAACTAAATTCTCACCACAGAGTTTAAGGCTTAGTGGTTTAATTAATGACTTCTTCAGAAACAAGTTAATGTACACATGTAGTGATTGTAAACTCAGATTTTGAGAGATTACAGGTATCACAGTACTGTCAGCATGGTTCTGCTGTTTCTGGTAGTTTTCATATATTTTTGATGTGGAAATGCTCTCACAGCTAGGAAAGAAAGTGGTTCTGCAAGTTCTGATCAGTCTGCTGAAGATGGACCATCTATTGATAAATCGGAAGTGGAAAAGGTGAAGGTGGAAAAGCTGAATGAACAACCACAGGCAGTAGACAAGAAAAGCGACCATAACAGGTATCAGATACAGTAATAATGCTATAAATCTGAAATAAAGAGGTATTGTTGTCAAAAGTTGAAAAATCTTAGCTTTTCTCACCATCCAAGAAATTGATTTCTTAGTAGAAAAGAAAGTGCCATTGTCATTCACTTTTGCAGCAGGTGAAGAGCAGATGGTTTCTCAGAACATTGTCTATTGGTAAATCACTTGTATGAAGCTGGTAACAATTATTAATTTTTTCCAATTTATTTTATTATTTTGTTTTATATATTTGGGTTGGGTAACTCACATTAAGACATAATGACACAGAATCTCCATGTGTGTGACTGTAATTATTTAACACATTATTCAACTATTGATAAAAGCTGAAAATACACTGGCTTGGGTAAGTACCTACATTGTAACTTTCATGATAAAATCTCTCTGCAGGTACAAGCTTCATTTTCTGAAAGAATCCAGTGATGAAATTCAGAGAAGAAAACGGGAAGCCATGTCAACTTATGTTAATTTGCTGCCTGAGGTGGGCAGAGTTACTATTTGATCCTTTCAGTCATTTGTTTTAGCTGCTTTTTTTCACTAAACAATGATTTTTGTAGAAGGTAACTTGTGAAACATATAAGTCTCTATTTACCAAGAGACTAAAAAAGTGAAGGATCATTATAGAATTTAAAAAAAATTTTGAGAAAGTAGAAGATTATATGCAAGTTATAAAAATACCTCACTCTTTTTTTTTTTTTTTTAGTCTTCGTAGTACTATTGAATATGGATGCTAGTTGCTTAAATATGCCGTCAGGTAAATATTTCCATAAAACTTTATTTCTTTATATCTCTCTAAATCATGATTTCATTTTTCAGGAATCTTTAGAAATTGCTTTTGATGAGGTGTTCCAGCCTGGTACAGTGCTTGACATCCCCAAGAGACCTCCATGGAACTACACCCTCAGTAAGGAAGAGCTGGAGCATAATGAAGAAGAATATTTTCAGGTAATGTGGCTTGATCAGATGCTGCAATTTGAATAAAATATATATGTGAAAGTTAAAAAGCATTCATATAGACAGGTTCTGAAAAAGTGTATAATCACACACACAGATGTTTCAAAGTTGTCGTCCAATTTTATTTATTAGATACTGAAACACCTATGCAAACTAATAATAAACCTTAAAAATGGTATAATCTGCTCTATTCAAGTTTTAAAAGTGGTTTGCATAAACAAATCAACAAAACAGGCAAGCACAGCAAGGTTATTATTTGTTATAGTACCGACTTGATGATTTTATTACTGGAATATTTTCACCTTCAGCAATATTTAGAGAACATCTTTGAACAACATGAAGTGGAAAAGTTGAGTTATTTTGAGTTGAACCTGGAGACATGGAGGCAACTGTGGAGGGTGTTGGAGATGTCTGAGATCTTACTGTTGATTGTTGATATTCGCTTTCCAGTAAGTTAATCAATATTTGATGAAATAAAATATACCTGATGTGTGGAGTACACACAGTATTATAAGCACAGGGAGAAAATGTGAGTCTCTACATTTTATTTAGTATTTGAAGAAGAGAATACATATATATCTTTTCACCTGTCTGATGGCATTTTTTTGCAGTAGAATTTTTACCCTGAGAATATGATGACAAAAACTGTGCCTTTGGAATGATAATATAACCTAGCTTGTATGAAACTCTCAATATTTTGACCATTACGGATTCTTCATTTTCACCCTAGTAGATATAAATTTATCATCAGACACCTATCAATTGCTTGGATGTGGAGAGGAAGCAAATTTGAGGGAGAAAAATAAAAGGGGATGATTTCTCTAGGCTCCCCTGTTTCTTGTGTTTATCACATATATATTTAAGAATGGGGTTTAGGGGAGGCTTAGCAACCTTAGCAACACATATATTTTACCTATATTTATAGTAATAATAAGTCTGAAGTAATAAATGCACTTCATCATTCCAGGTTCTTCACTTTTCCCCAGCACTTTATGAGCATGTCACCAGGCAACTGGGAAAACATGTTATTGTGGTGCTGAATAAGATAGATCTGGCGCCTCCCTCGCTAGTTGTGGCTTGGAAAGAGTACCTCCAGAAGAAGTTTCCTGAACTTAACATTGTGCTGTTCACCTCTAAGCCTAAAGATGCCATGGAAAGAAGCAGTCTGTCTGGAAAAGGTTGCTATCATTTTGTGTGTTGAGAATGGAATGTCTTCATTTTCCTTAAAGTTTGTTAATTCCTTTCTTTTTTCTTCTGTCCTTTAAAGAGTTATCTGCTCTTTCTTGTTCTCCTTAATCTGCTTGCTGTACTGGTAAATGGGCATTTTTTTCTCAAGAAATACCAGAAACTTGGCAAATTAAATAAAATGTCACTGAAATTTAGTTTTATCAAATAAACATCGTGATGGTCATTTTTTGTACAGTATTACAGAGAAAGCGACAAAAGAGGGTAGATACTGCAGTAGGACCTCAACAGTTACTGGATGTGTGTGAAAGCATTGTCAAAGATAAAGGTAAGCAAAGAAAGTGGTGCACTTGATTCAGGATCTCAACAGTCACATAAACCAGCTAGAAAATAAAATTGGGAATCAAGTTAATTTTTTAGCATCACAGTCCATCAGATATAAATTTTTATTTTTAGAGGTACTTGTGTATCTTTAGAATTGTGTGGGAAATTACATCTTAGATTTTGGAATAATGTTCAACTTGTTAAAATGCGTAGCTTAATCTTTAAGCATCTTTTCCATACAGCCATTGTTTCTTATTGATATTTCAGTTATATCAATTCATATACCAGCATTTATCTGTAAAATGATTATAAAAACTGATATATACATTTCTTGGAGCTGTGTTTATCCTAGAGGCTAGTTTGCAGAAGAATTTTTCCTCTTTCAAGCGCCTTTTTACACTCTTTTCTCAACTTGGAAGGGAAGAAAAAGTGTCCTGGAGAGAGTAATTCTCAATGTAATGTCAAATTTACTATTCAAAATAATTCCAGTGGACCTGTCAAGTTGGAGAAGAAAGGTGGACAGTGGTCATTTTGATAGGCATGAGGTGGACAGTGATAGTGACCAGGAGGACACTGTGGCCTCAGCTAGCCAGGAAAGTTTAGACTTGTCCTACCAGGAACACGAGAGATACAAAGATGGTGTGCTGACTATAGGATGTTTAGGTAAAATACTTTCCTACCTCAGGTCAAGGTCACTGGTAAGAAGGAGAGTTTGGCCTAAAACTCATGTATGGTTTTATCAAAAGATACAAACTCTAGTTTAACAATTTCATTTCATTCAAAGTGTATGAACTTTGCAACTCGAAAATTACTTTTGAACTTTATGATTCTATTTAAAAAATAATTTTTAGAATGGAATGTATATTACTTTCCTTGACATGTACTTACAAAATAAGCACTTGTAGTAATGGTGAGGGTGAACCCCTGAAACAGCTAGTTTTATGTTATAAACTTAAATTACTTTCAGGTTTCCCAAATGTTGGAAAATCCTCACTGATGAATGCATTGGTTGGCAGGAAGGTACTTAAATATTTATTGAATGAAATCTTTGCATCTTTATATTGGAAAAGCAATTTCTGTTAATTTCAACAATTTTACCTAAATCACCAAGGTATGAGTAAATCCTATTTAAAACTGTAAATAAAATAAAAATATGTGAGCCCATATTGGTATGCTAAATTTCTAATTTTAAAATCCAAGTCTTCATTTTTTTATGGAGAGTGACCCAAAAAATTACAAAATTGGAACTGACAAATGGATTTAGTTAGCTAAGAAAATTTGGATTAAAAAAAAAAATTCTACACAAAGATATTTCACACATAGTGTGCAGTGGAATATATAAATAAGATTTATACAGAATTTTTTAAAAACGTATTAACTCAAAATAATAAAATTGAAGAAAATGATGCCATAGATATGTTACTACTTGTTTATATATTAGTTATCCAAATCTAAACATTTTAATTAATTTTTTACAGGTTGTGAGTGTATCAAGAACTCCTGGTCATACAAAACATTTTCAAACAATTTATCTCACGGATACAGTACGACTATGCGACTGTCCTGGACTCGTATTTCCCTCATTGGTGCCAAAACCTCTTCAGGTGATAATTTGTGACGGTTTGACCAGCTTTAATGTATTGCAATTAAAGATCTATTTTGAAGTAGATTAACCAAACTTTGCTTCACCAATATTAGCTGGCAGTCTTATTATGGTTATGATCACCATTATGATTAGCTCACCAAGGGGAGCCAATATAATGTCGTATGTTTCCACTCAATTACAATCATGGCAGTGGATTAGATTTACACCCTATGACCAGCTTATCAAATCAGACAGGGATGAAATGAGTCATAGCAAAACGCATTTTGATTTGACGGAATGTCCAAAAGTTTTTAGCCTCACATATTTACCCCAGTCAGATAGTACAGTACACCTAACCTGGTGTACAATTATGTCTAAGGGTGTGTTTTATTAACCATAGGTGTATAGAGTTTGTGAACACAAATTTGTGGCAACCAACAAAACATATCTTTACAGACATTAGTATGAAAATTTTGTTTCTTATTTTAGATTTTATCGGGAATATACCCAATTGCTCAAGTCCGTGAACCCTACTCTGTTGTGGGATATATGGCTGAGAGAATACCTTTAACACACATATTAAAAATACAGCATTCAGATGATGAGGGGAATACTCAGCGTTGGACAGCGTGGGAAATTTGTGATGGTAAGGTGACCACTGTAGTATAAGGTGTAATTAGACATATATTAGACCTTGACCTGTTTGACTTGAGGACACATTGATATTCCCAAATTTAAGAAGACAGTCTCAAATCCAGTGGTAAAACCTTGTTTACATCTGCTTTACAACATTCCTCTTACTCAGGGCTGGGGTTCCTCATATGTATGATCATTGAGCCTCCAAAGTTAAATCTCTCAAAAACTGATGATGAAGACCATGCTCTGATTGGTGATTGTAGAAAGCAGGTTTTATATGATAATAAAATTCCATATTACTGAGAATTTCAGAGATTCCCGGAAACTCCCCTCTTTTATGTGTTTTCCATCTGATAATTTTAGTAACTAGAAAAAGCATACAGAGACTCTCACAATGAGCTTCCAGTAATTTAGAATTAGGTGACTAAAATTTACACGGTTACCAATCTCTTTATCTCTTTAACTCGGACTGGCTGTGCAACTCCAATAAAAAGTGCCTAATTTAGTTGGTGGTCACAACCTGTAAAAGACTGTATATTTTATTTTCATTATTGTACTTCTTTCTTTGTGTCTTCATTTACCCTAGCCTGGGCTGCCAAAAGAGGATTCCTTACAGCCAAAGCTGCTCGGAATGATGTGTATAGAGCCGCCAATAATCTCCTGAGACTTGCCTTGGAGGGAAGACTTAGTTTGTGTTTACGTCCACCAGGCTACACAGCACATAGAGGTCAGTGTTAAGAACTGGATGGGGGAGAGGAGGGGAATGCTATTGTAGAGAGAAGATATTGTGTTTGGGTAAATGTGCATGTTTGCATGCCTGCATCCAAAAAGCTGTAACACGCAGAGATTACGTTTTCCTTTATCTAGATGGAATGAAAGGGTGAGAACTTTCCTGGAGATTCGATTAAGAATATAGTATGATTCTTGTTGGTTTATCTGGACCTAGCAGTGTGTTTTATCCTTATTATTGTTGAAATTGATTGTGGTTGTCATTATGATTGTATAAACAGAATATTACCCCCATTAGCAGATTCATTTGAAGATGCATATTAGCGAGTAATTAATGCCTTAAATTAATCTAGCTAAACTGAACCAAATGCCACCCTATAGTTTCAAATAGCACAACCATATACTTCATGTTGTGTAAGAAACCAGTACTAAAAATTCGGATAATAACAGGGAATTTACTCATGCTTCTTTTGTATCTTTACTGGATGCATCCCGTAATTGCAACAATTCCTCATGGTTGGCTCTTTACTTAGTCCCTTGAGTAAATGGAAGGTTTTTCTCTTTTTTTTTTAATGTAAAAAATGCTAAACCAATTATACACAAAATTCAAGCACCCTTTAACTTGTGTAGTTTCATAGGGGTCAATTATCTCTACATCTTCTTACCAGGTCCAAGCACTCTATGTTTTATTTTTCTTAATATTGACAGATCACTTGGGAAAATCATCCTGACACTGAGGAGATAGCAAGACTGCAAGATGCTTGTAAACGTTCTAGTATGTCAGGTGATGGGGATGATGAAGACAGTGACAGCATGAGTGACAATGACAATGTTCAGAAAGCATCACAGAATCCATTCTTGCTGCTTGGAAGTGTTGATCATGGACTGCTAGATTAAGCAAGCTATTCCCAGAGAAACTTTCTGAATGTCACTTAATAGTATTTTTTAAATTTTATAGAGAAGTCGGTCCTTACAGCACAGATATTTTATTTTGACAAGGAAAACAGTCTTGTTTGATCCTTCTGAAGCCTAAGTCATAACTAAATCAAAGTGATGATATAAACATTGGATATTCTTATATATTATGTTGTTCCAATCACTTACAATCACTTGTTATAAAACACAATACCAAATAAAGCTCAGGTGCAGCAGATATAAAAAGCTGATTAATAAAACTGTTATATTATATTTTGTTTATTTCCCTCGTACTTGTTTCAGTCTGAAAGAATCAAATCTGTGAAATACCTAGACCATTGCTTGAATCGCCTGATTTGGTAACTAGACTCCATGCATATAACATAATAAAATTTTTGTCTGAGGGCATATTATAGAGATTATTTATAACGCAAATGTTTTGTTGATCCAAAGAGTTCCGTTAGCAACATTTAAAGCTTATAAAGATTTGAAAATCTTTTTAAAAAAAGCTTCGAAACTGCTGCGCGTCAAATACATGTAGTATTTATTTCTGGAATGGCCAATAACTTGCAAGCAGGTAAACGGCGGCTGTGACGAAGAAAAGGGCTTGGTTCTTGTCATTCATGAAAGCCCCAGCCCCACTTCCCACAGTTGGTTGAGCCGTGGTTGGGGTGCTAGTTGGTTGAGCCGTGGTTGAGGTGCTTGCTGGGGTCTTCTTCAATCTCCCGAAGAACAATATGGTCCCAGAACTGTTTTCACGAATGAAAAACATGAACGGGCGGTCGGCTCTGAAGACGGGAATTGGGTCGGTGTTCACGCTAGTAAGACCTATTCCTATCCCGGTGGCGGCCGCAGCCTCGGTCCCTGCGAATCGGTAAATTCAGACTGAATATAGCATTTTTCATAACAAAAATAATCATTGTTAAGTACACAAAATTATAGCTTTGATTAGAATAATATAGGCTTTCTTACTGTTTTTATCAATTTTTTCACTTTGAAAGATTTAAAACATACGTGCGATCTCCTCGCTCTGCCACTAAAGTCATTAAACTAAATGTGTTTTCAGAGATATGCTAAGGTGACGAACCCTCGTACCCCCCCCCCCCCCTTGACGCCCGATAAAACATCTCTCCATTTTTTTTTTTTTTTCCATTTTTTTCGTTATGAAATACTAAGAACGNTTTCTTTCTTTTGAATGGCACCTAATGTCAGATTTGATATTATTGACCAAAATATCTCACAACAGAAGACTGGATGTTATTATCACTCAGTGACATACTTTTTTAATGATTCAAGCCAAAAAAAATTCAATCAGCACTCAAAAATAACAATGATAAAAAATATTCCATATTAAGTAGCAACCCTGTATATTGTTTTAAGTTGTTTATATCCATTTACTGACAGCTGGCCAGGTAGACCAATCAAGATTGTTGCAGTTTGGTTCACAGTTGCTTTGTCATCCTGCGAAATCATTTTCATGTTTTATACTTAGAAGTATAAAGAACACGACCAGGACGAGGATAGACGAAGATCTCTAAAGCTGCTTCTATCCGGACGAGTAAAGGACGCATTTTAAAAGTGTTTGGGAGAAAAAGAAGCCGACAAAGAGCTTTTTGTTCAGATGAAAATGAACGAAACAGTTGTATGATTTACTGAAGTGGACACACGGGTACGGGAACGGCTGACATCAGAATTTCAACGAAGTTCATATTGATGCAAAGCGCAAATCTATACTGGATAATCTTCGTTGCAATCCATCTCAGCGAGTCAACCTTTGCTTATTCATTTAATATCTCCTTTGCTTTTATTTACCCAACATTATAGTTCATTCATTCATTCAATAACTTTTTAATAAGCCAGAGAGAATGCACTTTTCAGATAATCAGCAAGTTGTAGAAAGTTCGTGGATAAAGAACATATTTGCAGTTTTTTTCTTTGTATGCGTAGTGGTAGTGTTGAATTTCATACTGACTGATTACCTGACAGAAAGGAAATCTAGGATCGAGGCCCTTATGACTTTGCCAAACAGTACATTGACAGCAGGAAATAGGAGCAGTTTATTACTGAGGATGGAATTAGAGAAAATGAAGCGTGAAACAAGGCAATCCTGGCATGATCAGAACAGAACAAATGCTAGAAATACAACAGAAAATATAGGCAGCTTCTAATGAACGATCAACCGAAAGATCTGTAAATTCTAGCTCAACGTTTTAGCTCAACAATACCAACTTGGTTGACTTCAAGATGGACTTTTTGGTCCTCACATAAAAGAGAGTCATGATTGATCATACTTTGAATTACATTTCGTGTTTACTGGCAATTATGAATATTTTAAACACAACATAATGCAGCACAACAAGACAGCATAAGCAGAGTTATCCATATTTTCTGGACTATTATATCATGGCTTTGGTCAAGGTTCTGTCTCTTCTTTTAGAGCAGAAAATGTTCATACATTTTGTCTGAAAAAATATCAGAGTGAATTTTACAGGTAATGGGAGCGGTGACATCTAGGTTGGGAGAGAATCAAATGCTTTTATATCATTGATAGATAGCAATTTTAATTAGATTAGATTAGATTAATTTGCTTGCCATGCAACGAAGTAGACGAAACCAAATAAAAATGTGCCCCATAAAAATTACAATGTTGATTGAATATGAGTCTACAAATTTGATTTAGTTTGACTACATGCAGGATGCAGGACATCAGAAAAGGTGGATTTATCATCTTTGAAAAATAAAGTGCAATTTTTGACATAAACTTTGGAGGGTCTCTGTAAAACACTTTCTTCTTTTTTTTTCATGAAACCCTCCCAAACTTGTCTCTGTCCTCATAATTAGGCACAGCATCAATTTATTTTTCACGAATGAATTATTATAATGATTACTATAATGTATAAAGCAAAGGCCACTTCATTTATACGGGTATCTTACACATAATTTGCATTTTGTGGGCAAATCATTTGGGCAAATAATGATAAATCTGAAGTTTTGTCCATTAAGTTCTGATATAAAGATATATGAAATAGATAATAAAGACAGAGACGTTTTTTTTTAGATTTCCTGTTTACATTTCCCCTCTCTCTTTTTCTATTAGTTGCTTTTGGTAAAAAAATCTACAGAGCTTGGCCTTGTGCTGGCATAGTTATAGTGAGGTGTTCATACTGTATGGTTAGCCTATTTCTGATTGCAAATGTTATCGATACAAGATTTTACACAATCATTGATAAGTGACTGATACGTGAAGTTTGCATAGCTTCATTATCAGCGGGTCATATACATACACAAACTGGGTGGTGAGATTGAATTAAATCATTGTCCAGGAAACTCTGTGAACGCCACTAAAGTACAGAAATGCAGATAAAAGACAAAGTTGCGTTCATCACCGGTGCGGCCCAGGGTATCGGGAAAGCTGTCACTGATGCTCTCCTGCAGAAAGGGGCATATGTAAGTAGGTCCCAAAATGTAGGGCCTTGTTGGATTCTCTCCCATCTGACCTTACCAAGTTGTATAAGAATCAACTGGCGGTGTTACGGCCAATTTGGATGTTGTAATATAGAATTTCAGTTGGTTTTAGAAATCAGCAGCTCACGCATCGGCTGGTAGTTCACGAATTGATCTATTGACCATAATCAAGGAGCAAAATGCTTCCATTTACCCTCCCCCATACCAAGTGGGTGCACCCCCCCCCCCCCACACACACACACACAGAGGGAGAGAGAGAGTTGTGTTTCTGTTCAGTCTGTGAGGTCAGTGCATTCTTCGGACTGTTCAACATGAAGACACGGAGGAAGTTCCTGTCTTTGACTTTATCTATCTCTTTTCATCCATCAGGTTGCTGTGTGTGATGTTGACAGTGATACTGGAGAGCAAACAGTCACAGAGTTCGCGAAGCAATATGGTGACGACCGTGTAATATTCCTCCACTGTGATGTCACCAAAAAAGACAGCATTAAATGTAAGATTCTATACAATCCACCCTGAGTTTAAGGCTGCGTTCACGAACTAGTCAGCAGATCAAATATGACACGCACTTGACAATGGGTTCACGCCTTACACGAGTGCCGTCCCAGCAATTAGATCTCGGCATGTGCCAGTGCCCCCCCCCCCCCAAGGGTGCATTCAGAACCAGTTGTACGCAGGCTAACTAGTGCGCGGATCAAATTTGGCGCGACCCACTTGAAAGCGCACTAGTTAGTCCGCGTACAACTGGTTCTGAATGCACCCTTGGGGGGGCGGGGGGCACTGGCAACTCACTTTCTTATAATCAGCATGTCTCTGCAGTTTTCAGACAGAGATCTTATTTTTCATATCCACTTGGGACAAGGTACTTTGTTGGCAAATTTTGAAAAATATTAAGAAAGGACAATACATAATTTCATTTTTTTAAGTTTAGATCGTATAATATTGGGCATTCATGTAAAATACTATAGAGGAAAGAAGGTTATGATTTTAGTACCTACATCTGCCTTTTCTAAACTATTCAATTCTTTTTAGCTGCCATGCAAAGAACGACAGATAAGTTTGGGCGTCTAGACATAATTGGGAACAATGCTGGTATAACGAATGAAAAACAGTATGATCTCTGCGTTGACATCAACCTGGTAAGTGACACATGAGTCAGCATATTCTTAAATTAGAAAAATATGCATTTTTTTATTTTACCAGTGGGTTTTTTTTACAAAAGTCGATGTAACAGTAATATCGGTGGGTGACAATTGTTCTAAATACCATTAGCCAGACAATAATTGTTCTAAATGCCATTGTAACAGACAATATTATACACTGTGTATATAATAGAATAATAGATAGTATCCCAACTTTTGGTTAAGGTAAATTTTGATTAGGAAGCTTGGAATATTATTACATAAAGATCAATTTATACCAAATTTAAAGCAATATCGCGGGATCAAAAGGCCTGCATTTTCGAGATTGTGGCGGTGAAGAAAAGAAGCATGACACAGCTGGTTCTGATTTTAGGGGGGCGTGGTCCGTGGCACGTGGCTGGGTTTGGATTTCCTTAGAAAAGACAAAGGAGGGAATGGTGGTGTAATAATTAATATGGCCTCAATGGCAGGTGAGCATGGTTCCTTAATTTTTGTGTGTGTGAAGTTGCAGTTGTGTGTGTGTGTGTGTGTGTGTGTTAGGTCGCTTAACTTATTCTGTCACAACCTATTGCTTCAGGTTTAATGGCTGTCCCAATGGTGCCTACCTACGCAGCTACAAAGGCGGGGGTAATAGGATTCACACGGAGTTGGGGAGTGAGTTCTAGGTCTTTGATTTTTCCGCTTATTTTAATTTGTAAAAGCTGTAATTTTTATCTTTTATAGGCAATTTGACACAAACAGATCAACCTCAATTTATTGATTTAACCTGAACCTAGGATCACTCGAACGGATTGATTCATAAACTTTCACACCACTAGCTAATGTCTAGGGATTTATCATCATTTTTCTTAAGATTTCATATATTTGCCTCAATACTCCTCCTTCTTTGACACTTACAGGCGAGCATGGACTACGACCAGCACCAGGTTCGCGTAAACTGTATATGCCCAGGTTTCACTGATACTCAGATGACAAAAGAAGAAACCGTAGAGGAGAAAAGAGCCAAGGGCCTATTGCATTCAGAGGCTCTGGTTGCCATTATGTCAGAAAGTCTTAAACTAAGGTAGGGTGCATACTTGTCCTATATTGTGTTAGTAAATGAGATTTACTTTTTTCAAAATTGGTTTTCCTTCATACTCAAGGGTGGTTTACGTTTTCGATTTTTTTTTGTATTATGTTTTTAAAAAATTCAAGAAATGACGAAAATGAAGAAGAAATCGCAACTGTTTAATGGTGTACATGTATAAAAAAAGCATACTTGTAATTATATGGACCCATGACGACGTCATAAGAAAAGGTTTGGGTGTATTGCATGGCATTTGTGAAAATAATTTTAATAAACTTGAGAGATTATCATTCATCAAAATAATTATCCTTTCTTTTCAGTACAAATGCCGTAGCGGACGTTTTCATTCAGCTGGTGGAAGATGACACAAAAAATGGCGCCGTTATGGCCTTAGTTTCAGAACAACCGGTGCAAGAAGTTAAATTTCCAGACATTTTTACAAACGTAGAGAAGTAACCCATTGACGAAGATAATTTTTCCAGATTATGAGAAATGCACACACTTCTTTTTTCTGACTCTACCAGTTTATATGCTCACAGACCTATATAAAAGGGCCAAAGGCCTATATATTATGCATAACTATAAAATATTCTTCAAAATAATAATAATAATAATGATAATAATAATAATAATCAAATCAAATAAATAGATAAATAAATGAAAATGAAAAAAAAAAAAATAGGGGAACAGTGTTATTAATGAGTAGTTCTCTAGTTGTATGGAATGCTGTTTTATATTTAAACAATCACTGAATAAAAATTTATAAGTATTTCAAGACTTTGTGTTAGTTTTTTTTTTTTTTTTTTTTTTTTTTTTGAAAAAAGATTTTAAAAATCACTTTTTTCTCAGAAGAAATTGGCAAGTGATTAAAAAATTTAGACTTTTTGTAACAAATGAGATATGTTTTTCATAATTGAAAAATTAAGTAATTATAATGGTACAATAACTTGCATATCATTTGGTAACAATACATTATGTATGTCCCGACTCTGTAGAATTTAATGGTTGTCTGATCCGCGCGGTGGCAGCACCATTTCTCGCTAAATTTGGAGGTCGAGGTCAGTATAATACAGTTAGTTCAACTGATTACATGTACAAACAATATACGATAAAGTTTATTTCGTGTAGGTAAGAATGAAAGTACAAACATACATAGCTATTCACCGACAGAATAAATTAAATAATGATACAATGTTTACTACTACTATTTCTAATTACTTCTTGTGATTGAAACTACAACAGCACTACATGTAGCTGATACCCGTAAAATCAATCATTAACCCAAGATAAGAGAATTGTATACAAGATTTATAGAATCTCTTTATATTCTTTATTCTGTAATAACATAAATAATTGAAAAAAATAAAGAAAAGAAAACGGGACTGAATGGGATTCAAACCCAATCCACAGTGTTTGGCAGCCAAAGAAGTTATCCAAATCCTGCTATCCGTCCGATTGTTATTGACAGTATATAATACCCGTTACACAGACCTAAGCTTTACGGAAATTGCCGAAGACTAGAAAATGCCTTCAAAATATACTTTTAACAGTTTTTTTTAGAAAAAAACAATGGAAAAGTATGAAAAAGTGAGGAAACTTTTTATTTCAGCTACCTGACAGATAGAGTTTAGAAAAGGGTGAGTCAGACGGGACATTAAGTATCTAAATTAATGTAATTATAAAAATAAAGACTACTTATCATATGTTATGGAAATAATACTAATAGAATTCAAGTGGAAATGGTGGTTTACATGCTTCGGTCTGTAAAATGCCCTCCGTATTAAATAGCGTGAATTTTTTTTCATCAGATAATTAGACTTATTGTTGTTGTAAACATCGGTCACGGCTGATCTTGACGTTGTCGATGGCTATGTCACTGTTGTAACCACTACCTCTTTCTCCTGCCAGGAAGAACTGAAAAAGAAAGATATAATTTCAAATCTATATACTGTTATTACGTCCCCAAACCATTCTTAATATATTTAACGCTTAGTCTTACAAGAGTAATTTTGTCTGAAAATAGACAAGGGCAGTTTTACATAACCATATTGATAAAGATTTGATATGACCTAAGGACAACTTGTGTAAATCGGACTGCCTGAAGAATCCGGTGCTATGCTTCGTAAGAAACGCTGTCACTGCCTTAAAGTGCATTCTCCCATCCTTGCATCTTTCTGGATCTTTTTCAACTATTTTTAAAATCTATACACCCCGACCTGAAAAAAAAACCTACCTGAAGGGACGGTCCTGAATAAGAAATAGTGATAGTAAGGCACATAACTATCCAGAAGTTGCATTTTTCTCCTTTCAGTGTGTACATGGTCTTGAAAGAGGAGCCGAGCTTGGTACCTATCATCAAGTTCCCCATGGTGTTCCCGTACATGTGGTAGGACACGGTCACACAGTATTGTTGGGAACCGCCGCGGTGAGATATACGTGGAGAGAGAAGCCTGGCCACAGCACCCGCCGATTTCCCACTCGCCTCTACGTACATGTATTTACCTAGAGGTATAGTAGATGATTTAAAGAAAAGATGATTTTTTAAATTTATTAAAAGGTTACTGAATTATGTGGACAATAGGAATCTTGAAGTCATTTTCACCTAGTTTTCTACAAGGAGGGTAAGTTTAAGCCAGTGTGCTACGATCATGATCTATTAATACAAGAGAAGATATTTCTCTCCCCAACAACATTGCATGAGTTTATGCAATAAAATCTGCATGGCAAAGAAAGTAGGTTCCTTTCAAAATTTATACAAGAAGTATATTAAAACTACACATTTTCTAGTGTAGCTAAGACAAAAAGACTCACGTATCCAATAATTATCAGGACAAACAGAATTTATGACAAAACCATTACTCAAAGACCATACCACTGCCGCCATATCCAGAACTGGGTCCGGTATTTGCTGAGCTCGTGGCCCCGGATTTCAGAGTCCAGTCCATATCGTCCGAGCTGTCTTGGGTCCAGCCGCAGAGGCTGCCGCTATCGAAGTTACAGAAAGACAGGTAGGTTCCTACAGGGAGAATATGAAATTATAAATGTGTGTGTGTGTGTGTGTGTTTGTGTGTGGGTGTGTGTGTGTGTGTGAGCACGCTTAGAAGTGGACGAAAAATGGGAAAGAAAGAAAATCACTTGAGTCTTGCTTAGATGGGCATTAACCTTTTCCCCGACTGTTCATGAAATTATAAATGTGTTAGTGGTAAACATCTAGAAAAATATTTGCGTCTTGGGCATTGGGCATACGATTTACTTTTTCGCTGGCTTATCAAAAGAGTATCAAAAAAATCATTAATAAAAAAATCAAATTGCACGTTTACCAGGTTGTTGGGTCACAGGTATTTGAGTCACTGGCTTGCTGGTGGCCGCTGTGTTGGTGCTATCTTAATAAAAGCACACTTGATTTAAAAAAAATTAATTTGGTTGCAAAGCATTGTTTTCTTTTCCATTGTCATATGATAACATGGTTAATCTTAATCATCTTCAGTCGAAATTAATTGATTTTTGACTGTTAAATTTGCACATGAAAAGTTTTTGAAAAGGGTGAAGCTATTACGATGAGAAAAACATTACTGAGATACTGCCTATCGTCCTGTTCTTCTGCGGATTTTCAAAAATAATATTTATGAAATATACCAATAAATCGGAGTGCAATTCTCACCGCTTTCGCCGCAATTATACAATTGCCTTATCTCACTAATATCAGATGTGCTGAGAGCGACGCGTTGCCCAATGGTCGCACCGTCACGTTTAGGGGTGATGGTGGGCTTGGTCCTGTTTTCAGCAAAGCTATACCTCCCGTAGTGCATTATAGAACCGTAGTCGTAGTTGGTGAGGTGTTGAATATAGCCGAGTTCGTAATTGTCGAAGTTAGAGCCTTTACCTGTGAAAATGTAGGTAATAGGGACATTTAGAATGGTAGCTCAACAGCGCGTCATCAGAAAAAAAAAAATGCATAAACACAACCCCACACAAGCACACGCTTGTTAGCGCACAACCAAATGCCATACATTCTGAATATTGAAACAATAGCGAAAAAACTCTTCGGCCTTTATTCTATTTAAAAAATCATAAAATATAAGAAAGTGCTGTCTGTTGTTCTAACTGTACTTGGTTTTTAACAACCGTTCACAATATGCCGTATCTGAATTGCTACCGCTATGGACCACCTACCAAACTCAATGTTATCCCAATGAATGGTGACGTAGTTCTCTCTGTCAGCGCGTCTCTGCTCGTGGTAGAAGCCAAGTGCGTGTAGCAGCTCGTGCATGATGATACCCTTGTACAAACATCCACTAGCCAGGGACAGAGCCTGAGAACCACCTCTGCTATTTCTTCCAACTTCAGAGTAGCAGCTATAATGTTATCAGTAATGTTGTAAACACTGTCCAGTTGTATACTGGGCATAAATACGTTGCAAATTAAGCGTGACTCTGAACATGAATGAGACCAGCATCTTTCAAAAACCATTATTTACCGAACAAAAACAACACTTCGCGCTCGATGATGTGAACTCAGTTAACAGAAATGTAGATTTGCTACTTTACTAGAAAGGGAAAAGGAGAGTCAACAAGAGGTGGTGATAGCGTTATCAGCTCCCTACTCAATCCAAGAATTTCAGCATTTTTTTAAGTTTGAAAAAAGTATCCCTTCATTGCTGTTCAAGTATAGAAATGACCCAACCTACCCACTGTCAGGTATTATTGAAATATATTCTAACTCTGAAGATCGGTTGACAAAACGAATGCATTTGATCGAACCAACTTGTGTCTTCTCTTCTATTTCTCTCATAGCACTGGTGATGAGGGACTTTTGCCAGGAGGCTGGAAGGCAACGAATAAAAAGGAAACCTGTCAAAGTGGATTGATTGACGTCTACTTTTAGTGCAAGCGCTGAATTTTTTTTGCTTAAAGTAAAAAATGTATTCATTGCAATTGTGGAAACTTTACGGGTCAAGATCTTGTAAAAGCGGGCTACCTAAAGCCTCGGTCACAACAGGCCGTACGGGCTCTTACGGGTTGTTTGCGTCCAAATTTTGCACAAAATCTCACGTGCAACGCAAGTCCTAAGAAATTTCGAGTTCGCATACGGAGGATATTGGTCATGTCCAAAAGATTCTACGAATAATCTGCGAACAGCGAGGCGGCAAGCGTAAGTTGCTCCCCTCGACAGGAGTTAGGAAGTAAGACGTGGTTAGTCCAAGACGCACGTCGCAAACAATGAGGAGCACGTGCCCTTTGCGTGTTGAGTACGGCGCACGCCCTAACAACTAACGAACAAAGTCGAAAGCACACAGCTGGAAATACGTCGCACGTGCGCCATCCCTCAATTCGGCTTCTAATATGGCTCCAAAAAGCAAGAGAAAGGAGCTTAGAGAGCAGAAAAGAAGGGAGAAAGAAGATGAAAGAAGGGGAGAACGGGAGGCAAAACTGACATTCGACGTCAGTACGTCATCACAAGTGTGGTGAATATTGAAACAAGAGCGAAAAAACAAGTGTGTGAGGCAAGTGTGAAGCAAAGGTGATGCAAAACAGAGCTACTTTCTCTGTGGGTTGCTTTCTCTTCATAAGTGGTGAGTGCACGCTACGTGCGCAGGTATAGCAAAACAAACTCATGAAATGAGTAGGCCTACAATTTTCACGGCCATCGCACCTTGCAACTAGCGTCCAGGGCTGCTTGAAAGGACATCTCACGTGGCCCCTGCGAAAAGCAAGGCAGACTTGCACATTTCCATTGAAACATTTCCTCTACCTCTACGAACTCTCCAGCCTCCACTGTATCCAAATTTCGTAGGTAAGGGGACGTACGGTCCTAAAATTCGTGCATCCAGTTGTGACAGAGGCTTAACTTTCTTATCGGTGTTGTAGTTTATGACATAAATAATTAAGTTTGTTTTAAAGACGGATTAGAACATAAGGGATTTTATATTACATGTAAATTACATATAATAATGAGCCTTATGGTAAGAAAATTAAAATATACTAAAAATGCAACTTACTGTACCAGCTGCTGATGACGAAGGGCACTTGACCGTTGGGCCATCTCGTGCTGGTGGATGAAAGTGCATTACGATGTTGAATTTTGTTAATCGGATCCTAAAATAGAAATTAAAATGATATTCGATCAATTCCAATTAAGCCATGGCATATTTAGGACAATTGTGGTTTAACATTTTGTGTTAATCATATGAAACAGTAAAAGTCCAGATAGTATATGCTTAAAAGAAAAATCAGTTTGCTCGTGGCGATGTTTTTACCAAGACATTGTTACAATTGTGTTATTTGTTTGTTGTCTGACGGTTTGAAGAAACCAACATGACCTACCGTAAAAATGTCAGCTTCTATATCCATATCGCCCTCAAATTTCCCTTAAATAGTGCACGCATGTCATAATTTGAAAAAAAAATGTGAAAAGAAATAAAAACATAATAATGCAGGGAAATAGAACAGCATGTGGAGATTGACAAACATACAATTCTGGGTGTTAAGAAAATCGGCTGAAATTGATCTTTCCACAGAGCTCTGTAATGCCAGTGATATTTATCCTTTTTATTGTTAATGCTTCCATTTTCCAGCAGTGAAATCAGTGATCATCAGCTAAAAATATATACTTCAACAAATATTGCTATTACATGCTTGCAAAAATTAAGTCGAAATAATTGTGAAGGCGAAACTCCTATCTTTATGCCTTTAATTAGGGGGGTCCTTAGATAACCTTTTTCCCCAAAACAGTGCCAAAACCACCTAAAAAGATGCTTATACATCTTAAAAACAAACTGCAAAAAACCAAATTAGTGTAACTCTATTATCAGAGCTGCTACTTAGGTTTTAGTATTTTGGAGAAAAATCGCTAAAAATACTTAAACTCTGTATTTTTTAAGACATGATGGTTTTTCATACCAATGTTTATAATTACATTTTAACACAAATATCATTGTGACTAATAATTCTGACAGACTAAATGCATATGAAAACTAAACTGAATGTTCTAACACCTAGATGATGATTCATAATAAGTTCAAAAAGAATTCAATTCACTAAGAATTCAATGCTTTTTGGAAGCTTAAGTCAGTTAGCGTTATGGTGGATCTTTCTTTCTTTTTTTCCAACAACTTTTCAGGTTCATTCCAAACTGTTCTAGAGTTAATATCCTTCTCTTCTCTCCAATAATATTGAATATCCTAAAGACAGGACTACATTTTGGCAGTGATAGGGATGTGTCTCTAGCGTATGTGACTCTCCCCCATGAAATTTTGACTCCCCCTACAGAACTTTATAAATCTTATTTTATTTGAGTATATGACTTTTATCTTGTAGTATGCATAATAGAGGATACATTGGCACTTTATGCTAGTTTGCAGGTAAATGTTTTCATGAGAATAGAAGAAAATTAAAAATGTGTATTCTACCAAACAATGAATCCCCTATGGAAAATCTGTTTATTTGATATTTGGTGATCATTTCAATTTTCACCATTTTTTTACCACCAAACTTTCAAATACTAACAAAATATATGTCACAATGCAATCTTTGTGGAAAATAATGGTATGGTGACTAAATATAAAATGGGGTTTTGTCTTCATGGGAGTCCAAATACCATGGATATGAAAATGGAGATTTTTCAAGATTTTTATTTCATTTTTTTCACCCAATATTTTACAATCAAACTTTCTAATATTTCAAATATGTTCTTAATAAAGTATACTTAATGGAAAAGTATTGAAATGATCATCAAATATCAAATAGCTTTTTCATAGGGGAGTCTTTGGGTTGTCATATACTCAAATAAAAGAAGATTTGTAGGGGGGGAGTCAAAATTTCATGGGGGGGAGTCAGATTTTCATTATGAAATTTTGACTGGGGGGGGTCAGATTTTCATGTTACACCGGTATTCAGTAGAAACAGTTTTCCTTAATTTGCTAGTTTCTTTTAGCACAGTCCCTCGAGCCACAGCCTCTATTTTTGGTTTCTTCCTCAATCTTTGATCAGTGTCATCACACTGCCGTTCCATTTGAAGGTTGTGGACAGGGGTCTCGTCCATGTTTTCACACTGATCAAACACAGAATATTAAACTGGATATTCACCAAATCCATAGTATTCTCTGCGTTGCATAGCCTGAACCTTTGCCATTTCTAGTAATATCTTCTTTGTCAAAGCTTTGCACTCATTTAGATGTGCACTAGCACATCGTTTCACACTCTCAACTACATGTAGGCCATAGTTATCTTTCACTTCCTAGAATAATTCATGGTTGAAACGGGAAAACTCGGGAGCATCTAACTGAAAGAAATTCTCATTTACCACATTTCTACTGAGCTCTAGATGTAATGATTGAAACTTTTCTTTCAATTTGCTGTGTGTTGCACCCCTGGATATTGTTATGGCATGAAACTAATTGAATGCTACAACAGCAGCAACTATTCTGATATATTCCAATGCCAGAGCATCTCTTACAAGACAAACTAGATGCCATCATTGTCTAGCTAGTTTTTCAGTAATACAGTATAGATACCCTAAAAAGATAATGAAATCATGAGAAATCTAAAAGGAAAAATGTCATCAAAACTATGAATAATGAATTACCATGATGATGTTATTGATATAAGGTGTCAATGCCGCTATGATTTTGAGTATTTAGCTACCTTTCAAATAAACTTTTTACACAAATTTCTTAAAAACCAATTAAAAAAAACCCCATCTATTTGGCTTTGGTGAGTTTGAAATAACTTGTCAGGCCTATATAACTTTCATTCATGTTGTAGGAAGACAGTCCCGAAACCGTAGAAAATCGTGAAAATCGCGCTAAAGTGCTAAAAATCACGTAATCATAAAATGCAAGTAGCAGCTGAGTTATCAATGATCTTTCAAAAAGAACATTTGAAATATTGTTTTTAGGTGTGTAAGGAACTTTTTAGCTGGTTTTGACATATTTTTGGAATTATGGACCCCCCCTACAGTTTAATATGTTAAAAACCTTTCGTTAGGACACTACTCACCACCAGCCTCCTCTGGGGAAATCTCATACTCAGGGCGGTCGTCTGCAAATGCTTCTGAAACAGAGAGCATCTTAAAGTTAAGGATGGAGTTATTCTTGTTTTTAATCAAGTAAAATTACAACTTTGGATCTATCGAAAAAGTTTTTTTTTCTAAATATTTAAAGTTGACAAAGCTCGATAATGTGAACTTATTGAACAGAAAAATGTTGATTTGCTACTTTACCAGAAAGGAAAAAAGGAGATTCAACAAGAAGATAAAAAGGAAAAAGACAAAGCCAAGAATAAGGATGTGGGTTTTCACCTGCTACCTGGAGAATGGGGACGGCCTGCAAGAAATAATTGAAAAGAGGTTATGTAATTGGCATAACGGCCTACTATTGGCACGTTATTTTGCGCCTTATGCATAATGCAAAATGTCACCTTTGCCTAATGCTCTCATGCAAAATACTGAATCTTGACTCACCTTACAGATTCCTTTTCAATGCGGATCGATCCACTTAAAATCCATCGCCACCTTAAACGATACTATTTGCCTATATCTGTATCTTAAAGTTCAGTGCTCATTTAGGAAATTATGGAGGTTTTGAACGCGTAATGATAAAACTGAATTTCTCAATCCCAAAACTCTCTTTATTGTGAAAAATAAACGCTCTTTCATGTATGTTATAAAAATTGGACACAAATGTAGGCCAAAATCTATCTGTGAATATAAATGTAGAAAGTGCACAAAAGAAAATACCTTACAGCGAAACTTTTCATAGAAGACATCAACTTACAACAGCATGCGACGCCATGCTAAACACCAGCACCATTAAGAAAGCTTTCATCTTGCTTGTCGCCTGAACTGACCACCAACTCCACATAATAAACGACTGGCTGAGAAGGTCCTGACAAATCAACATTATCTTAGTTATAGTTTGTTCAAATGGGTTATTGGGCATAACACACACACACACACACACACACACACACACACACAGAGGGAGAGAGAGAGAGAGAGAGAGAGAGAGAGAGAGAGAGAGAGATGAATAAATGAATAAATAAATGAATGGAATAAAACGGTTCGAATGTTTTACGCCGTCAGTTGGTCACAACAGGACATTTTCATACATGCATGTAGCAACAAATTCATCCTGGATCAGGGTGAAGTGAGATTTTTGGTCCTATGTTAAATACGACCCTGGGACTTGTCCCGTTTGTAATAGTGATATAATGGCCCAGAGTTTCAGAAGTCCCTGGAAACTCGTCTCTCTGGAAATGGCATGGTGATAGAAGAGGAGTGAGTTTTAAAGGACCTCTGAAACTCAGGGTGATCAATAAAGGCACCTGCATTTATAAAGAAGGTAGGTTTTATATCTTTATTTGAAAAGAAGCTTTGTACATCATTGCGTCATTGAAGCTATTCAACAGGGTGATAGGATTGATCCATGGGGAATCATTTGACATCCACATTTCCATTCCATCCAAATCAACACATTTAAATTTCATGACCAGTATTAACCGTACACATGGAACAGTTTGTGACAAGAAAACTGGAGAATTTCGGCGAATAAAAGGTCACGTTTGGGGGAAAAAAAGAGAAAATGGAAGTGGGTTTTTTATATCATCTAAAGAGATGAGTCTGGTATTTACCTTTTCCAACAGCCTATTCATAATGCGCATACATCTGAAAACTTGGGAATCAATGAGGCGAGTTCATTCATGGTTCAATTAATTATTTAAGTATGATAAATATTTTAAATTATTTCATATACAGTGTCTCTCAGAGATCTGCGGGTAACTGTGTCTCAAGGCATACTTGCAGATACTTCCGTCTGTATTGATAGGAAGGCAGCACACAGAAGGAAGAAAGGATATATTGCTTCAAGTTGTTTGCATACATTTACTGACCATTGATCAGGTAGACCAACCCAGCTGGTTGTTGTTCTGTTCGCAGTTAGCTAGTGTCATCCTGCGAAAGCATTTCCGTGTTAAGTATGAAGAGTCTGATCAGGACGAGGACAGACGAAGATCTCTAAATCTGTTTCTCCTTGGACGACGCATTACGTGCTTGGGAGAAAAAGAAACCGACCAAGAGCTTTTCGTCCAGATGAAAATAAACGAAACAGTCGTATGATCTACTGAAGCGAACAAGGGGCACGGGTAACGGATGACATCAGCATAAACATAATTTTACAAGTGTGTATTGATACAAAGAGCAATTTTTCACTGGATAATCTCCGTTGCAGTCCATCTCAGCGAGTCAACTTTAATTGGCTCATTCATTTAATATCTGCTGTGCTTTTATTTGCCCAACATTTTAGTTCATTCACCCAATAACTTTGGAATAAGCTAGAGAGAATGCACTTTTCAGATAGTCAGCAAGTTGTGGAAAGTTCGTGGATAAGGAACATGTTTGCAGTTTTTTTCTTTATATGCGTAGTGGTAGTGTTGAATTTCATACTGACTGATTACCTGACAGAAAAAAAATCTAGGATCGAGGCCCTTATGACTTTGCCAAACAGTACATTGACAGCAGGAAATAGGAGCAGTTTATTACTGAGGATGGAATTAGAGAAAATGAAGCGTGAAACAAGGCAATCCTGGCATGATCAGAACAGAACAAATGCTAGAAATACAACAGAAAATATAGGCAGCTTCAAGAGAAAGATCAACTGAAACATCTGTCAATTTTAGCCCAACACAGTGCCAACTTGGTTGACTTCAAGATGGACTATATCGATCCTCACATAAAAGAGAGTCGTGTTCGTACTTGGAATTACATTCCGTGTTTTCCTGGCATTTATGAATATTTTAAACGCAATTGTAATATTTTGATTGATATTTTATGCTATTTTTCGTTTTTAAGCAGTATAGACAGCAGAGTTATCCATATTTCTGCATATGAAAAAGGTTTTGCCATCTCTTTTGGCGTATTGAAGACAATGTTTGTACATGTACATTTCGTATATAAAAAAAGGGATTATCAGAGTAAATTTTAGAGGTAGTGGGAGTGGTGACATTAAGGTTGGGGGAGAATCAAGATGCTTCTGTAACAATAATGGATAATAATTTTTATTAGATTAATTTGCTTCCCATGCAACAAAGTTGAAGCATAACCAAAAAGACATGTGCACCATGAAAAATTAATATGTTGATTAAATATGAGCTAACAGATTTTGTTTAGTTTGACTAAACGATGCAGGACATCAGAAGGGGTGGATAAATCATCTTTGCACCTTGTCCCAATTTCCCTGCAACCCATTAATATCCGTGGGCCTGTGTTAAACTCTTTTTCTCTTTTTTTCCATGGACCCCCCCCCCCCCCAACTCGTTTCCGTCTTCAAAATTAGGCATATATATATACCTGTATATATAGCATCAAGACATTTTTCACGAATTAAGTTACTATAATGTATACAGTGTATAGGGGCATCTTAGATCGTATTCACAACGAGTTGAGCCGTGGCTTTACAAATCCTGGAACTAAATATGGCGGACGAACATGAAAGAAAAACCGCCTAATCTTTTAATAGTCTCTCCGCCTCTCACACGCCTCCCCATGCGTCGTCCCTGCGGGGGTATAGTCATTAAATCTTGGCTCCATTGGGACGACACATAGGGAGGCGTGTGAGAGGCGGAGAGACTATTAAAAGATTAAGCGGTTTTTCTTTCATGTACGTCCGCCATATTTAGTTCCAGGATTTGTAAAGCCATGGCTCAACTCGTTGTGAATGCGATCTTACACATAATTTGCCAGGTTGAAAAAAAGGTCGCATTATGTGGGCAAATAATGATTGGTTTCCAGTTTGCATTTCTCTCAAATTGACAAATTGAGTAATAATGTTTGGAATAATAACTTGCATATCACATGTCCCGATTTTGTATGCCCCCCTCTGCTGAATTTTAGTGCTTGTCTGACCCGCGCGGTGGCAGCACCATTACTCGCTGAATCTGCAGGTCAAGGTCAGTGGAGCTCAAGTATGGCGGAGACAACTCGGAATGTTATTACCCCTGAGAATGTCAGTTTTGTCAATCTTATGTCACTTCCTGGCGAAATACTAGAGCACATTTTATCATGCAAAGAGTTAGAACTTAATGACATTAACAATTGCGCATGCAGTTGTGTGACATTGCGCGCTCTCTGCGAAAGCAACGAACTCTGGAAGCACAAACTGGTTCAAAGGTAGGTACATATGTATGCAGCAAAAATTCAAATTCCTTTCGTAAGTGCCAATACAAACCAAACGTGCTGTTTTACACTTTGAAACTAGGCTATGGTTACGGTCACGCTGTAAATCCTCGAACACCAACTGTTTATAATAAAAGGGCGGTCCTGAGCGAGAGTAGCCGGCGAGCTCGGGTGTGACTGAAATGCGCAATACACTGCAATACAGCGCAACACAGCGCAATACACTTGATAACACAAGTCCAGTTGCAAGGAAACACAGGAAAGGGTAATCTCAAATAAAATAGGGTGATATAAAAGCAAAATATAGTACATAGTAATTGTACCACCAGCGTTAGCGCTGGCGGTACACATGGTTTTAGTCCCGTCCGGTCCGTTCCGCCGGCTCCGCAGCCATGTTACCGTTACTGCTTCTCCTCCTAGACGGTAAGGGCCACCATACCCATCTCTTGGATTTAGGTCACCTATAATCTCAACTCGTTCCACGTAAAATTTGGGCTTTGTCGGTATTGGGGTCTAGGTGTGGCATTCATTGCAATGCACCCTTGTCCAAAAATGGCAAAATTAAATGCTAATTATCTACCCTACGGAAGGAATTATGGGAAAATTTTCTACAGACGGCTTTCCAAAAGTCATATGTGTAGATTTCAAATATGCCCTTGGATTTGACCTTTGAC